GATCTTCTTAAAACTGAACTATCCTTAAAAATTAACATTATTGACACTACTCAGAAAAATCTAAGAGTTACTAGTTTATCAAATTCCTCACTATCTGCTGAAATTGATAAAGTTAAAGACCTCTTGAACAAAGAACAAACTGTTTTAAAACTTTGGGCTAAATGTCACAAGAATGCTAATTATGTTATTTCTGCTCAAATACCTCATTCATGTGAGAAAATCCTTGGGGGAAATTTTGCTGAAGCTGAAAACGTTTTCAAATCTCAAGAAAAAGAATTTGAATTTTATTCCATGAATGAATTAAAAGATAGTTTCAAAAACACATTTGTCAACAACACCTTTATTAATAAGTCTCTCATTGATGAACACTGTGTTACTGACTCTAATGGTGTTACTGAGTGTAATATTGAAATTACTGGAATTGATCCTACTTCATATCCTGCACATCTTGTGAGACCAACTTCTCTCACTGAAAATATAATTGCATTTCCTATCTCAAATGGAGTGTTTCATGCTGTTCATGAACAACTTAAACAATATCCTGATTGCAGTGTTTCAGTACATAAGTCTAAATCTGATACTGATGTCAGCTCCTCACCCATCACTGATTGTGGTTCTTCTGACACTGAATTCTTTAGTAATTCAATGTTAAATAAAAGGACTCAAAGTTCTCTCGGTGAATCCTTCAAATATAAATGTGTCAAATCTAGAAATGTGTTTACCAAGAAAAATTTTGGTACTAGAATTTGCTACAGGTGTGGTGACTCGACTCACAAAATCAGTGAATGCAAGTTTGATAAAACATCATTAAGAGCTTATAACATCAAAGTTAGAAATGAAAAATGGACTCTTAAATCAAATTCTTTAAACTGTCTTCCTAAAGAATGTTATAATATATTATCAAATAACTTTGTGAATGACCCATCTTCCAATGGGTCAGTGTGTTCTAACTAGTTTCTCAACACTGCAGGGTCAGGAGCATCTTTGGTACTTAGATAGTGGTTGCTCAAGGCATATGACAGGATCCAAGTCTCTCCTGGAAGACTATGTTAAGAAAACTGGTCCTGCAGTAACATACGGAGACAATGGAAAGGGGTTCACTAAAGGATATGGAAATATCAAGTGCAATAACGTGGTATTTCAGAACGTTTCATATGTAAAGGGTCTCAAACACAATCTTATCTCAATCAGCCAATTGTGTGATGCTGATTATGAAGTTCACTTTACAAAGAAGGAAGGAATAGTTGTTAACACTGACAAGAACATCATACTTTCAGCAAGTAGAAAAGATGATATATATGTTCTTGACATGTTCTCAAGTGACAAGGCGTTGATGCAATGTTTTTTTATAAAGTCTCAAACCAATCTCAGTTGGATGTGGAACAAAAGGTTCACTCATTTGAACTTTAAGAATTTATCCAAAATATCCAATCAAGATCTAGTTAGAGGTCTCCCAAAACTCAGCTTTGTCAAAGACAAGATGTGCTCAGCGTGTGAACAAGGAAAACAAACCAAGTCGTCATTCAAACCCAAGTCATGTTCCAGCATATCAGCTCCTCTTCATTTATTACACATGGACTTGTTTGGACCTATTCTTGTTCGTTCCCAAGGAGGGAACAAGTATACTCTAGTGGTTGTGGATGAGTTTACTCGATTTACATGGGTGGTTTTCTTGAAGAAGAAAAGTCATGTTGCACAAGAAATCATCTTGTTGATTCATAAAAATGAGACACTGACTGGTCTCAAAGTTAAGCAGCTGAGGAGTGATCATGGCACTGAGTTCCGGAATTCAACTCTTGAGGAATTTTGTGATTATACAAGCATTGGGCAGAACTTTTCAGCTCCTCGCACACCTCAGCAAAATGGAGTTGCTGAACGAAGAAATCGAACACTGATTGAGGCAGGAAAAACCTTAATGATTCATGCTGGCCATCCTATGTCATTTTGGGCTGAAGCTGTTAATACAACATGCTATACTCAAAATCAATCTCTAATTCACAGGATTCACAAGAAGACACCATATGAGATGCTGAAAGGTCGAAAGTCGGATGTATCCTTCTTTCCTGTGTTTGGATGCATCTGTTATATTCTTAATCAGCGTGATCCAAGATCAAAATTTGAGCCTAAGGCTGACAAAGGTATTTTTGTTAGGTACTCATCTATTTCAAAAGCTTTTCGTGTTTTTCATGTAAACAGGCAGTGCATTGAAGAATCCATTCATGTGAAGTTTGATGAGGAATCATACACTGATGAAAAAATAGCTCATTCTTCCTCTATTTTTCAAGAGCTTCTCTCTTGCCCATATGATGAAGTTTCTCATACTGAAGAAGAAGCTACTATTCCTGATCCTATCGTTCCAGATCCAAATTCCTTGAATCAAGATACTGTAGTCAGCTCGACAACTCATTCGTCTGATACTGATGAAACTCTTGAGAATGAAGACTATCCTGCAACTGATGTTCCCTTCAGCAATAACATTTCAGCGTCAAATCCAGTGGAATCAGCTTCTGGACATCGAGATCACCCTGTTGATCAAATTATTGGAAATCTTCATGATGGTGTCTGAACCAGATCTCGTGTATCTAATAATTTTTGCATGTATGTTAATTTCGTTTCAAGAATTTTACCTGACAAGATTCACACAGCTCTTCAAGACGCTGACTGGAATAAAGCCATGTAAGACGAGCTGAACGAGTTCGAAAGGCACAAGGTTTGGACCCTTGTTCCCAGACCATCAGGAAAGACCATTACCGTAACACGCTAGGTCTACCGCAACAAGGTTGATAAGGATGGTATTATTGCTCGCAACAAAGCAAGACGTGTTGCTCAGGGATTCACTCAAATTGAATCCATCGACTACGGGGAGACTTTTGCTCCGGTTGCCCGCATTGAAGCAATCACACTGTTTCTCGCATACACTTCATACATGAACTTCATTGTCTACCAAATGGATGTCAAAACGGCATTTCTTCATGGTGAGTTACAAGAAGAAGTATTTCTCAAACAGCCCCCAGGCTTTGAAGACAAAGAGCATCCTGACTATGTGTACCGACTAGATAAAGTTGTATATGGACTAAAGCACGCTCCCAGGGCCTGGTATGAGACACTGACATCGTATCTTCTTGAAAATGGCTACAGAAGAGGAGCAATTGACAATAGTCTCTTCATCAAATAGAAAGACTCAGAACTGATTCTTGATCAAATCTATGTTGATGACATCATCTTTGGATCTCCAAATGAGAAGCTGAGCAAAGAATTCGCTGAGATCATGTCTCAAAGGTTCGAAATGAGCATGATGGGGAAGATGACTTTCTTCTTAGGTCTTGAGTTTCAGTAACAAAAATCAGGTATTTTAATTTGTCAAAGTAAATACATTGATGACATGCTAGTTAAGTATTCTCTCAGCGACTGCAAACCAGCTTCTACTCCGGTGTCCAAGAATGATAAGCTACACGTTGATCCCACTGGCGCTGATGTTAATCACTCTCTTTATCGAGGAATGATTGGATCTCTTCTCTGCCTCATTGCAAGTCTCCCTGATATCATGTTTGGAACCATTCTCTGTGCTAGATTCCAAGCTAATCCCAAGGAGTCTCATCTCATTACAGTTAAACACATCTTTCGATACTTGAAGGCCACTCAGAACCTGGCACTGTGGTACCCTCGTGACTCAGCGCTTGAACTCTTTGGATACACTGATTCCGACTATGCAGGTTGCAACTTAGACAAGAAGAGCACGTCAGGTGGATGTCATTTCCTTGGAAATCGACTAATCAGCTGGTCCAGCAAGAAACAAACCTCAGTAGCTATCCCCACTGTAGAAGCTGAATATGTTTCTGCTGGAAGAAGTTGTGCTCAAATTCTATGGACTCAAAATCAACTTTTAGACTATGGGCTTAAATTCACAAAGACTCCTATATTCTGTGACAACACCAGTGCCATTCAGATCACACAGAATCCGGTTCAGCACTCAAAGACAAAGTATATAGAGATCAGACATCACTTCATCAGAGACAATGTTGAGAAGGGCAAGGTTGTTTTGCAGCATGTCAAGACTTCCGATCAACTAGCTGACATTTTCACTAAGGCCCTGGATACTCAAACTAATGCTCACATCATTGGCAAACTTGGAATGATCACTCTCGATTGAAAACTTGTTTTACTAATTTTTGTTATTGTCTTGTACACTAATTTTTTTTTTGTACTGATGATGATGCGCTGATGATGTTTAGCATGTTGAGTACACTGTATGATCTCTTATCTCTTTCTCTTCTACAAATCTTCTAAACTAAAGTTGAATGATTCACTGTATTAAACCATACACTGATAACAACTTGAAACTCTTTGCCGATGATTAGACAAAATACCAACTTCTATCACACGCAACTATCCCTTCCTACCAATCTTACACTGATTCTGTGATTCGGTGTGACAAAACACATACTGATGAGAATCTAACAGTCTTTGCCGATGGTTAGACCAAAAACACCAAGGTCTATCACACACAACAATCCTCTCTTTACCTTATTCTCACTCAGTGTCTAATGATTCAGTAAGAAATACCACTCACTAATAAAGACTCAACAGTGTGTGCTGATGGTTAGATAATTAAACTAGTATCTATCATACGCACCAATCACATTGCTAACCCAACACAAACAAGTTGTACCTTGAATTGACGACAAACTATCTTTCAGCATGTACCTCTCAGTGATAACAATCTCAGTGCTTCCGCAGTCACTGATTGTAGTTTCCTCTTCGGTACAACGGCTATATTTACCCAACAGCTATTTTTTGATTTCAGTCTGTCAAGATACGCAGTTATTTTTGATGAAGATAATCATTACCTTTTTTACCGTTGCATTCCTTACTTAAACCTTTTCACCTCTTCTCTAAACCTTTTTACCTTCCTCCAATCTTCTCTCACTCTTAAAAAATAAAATAAAAAAATAAAAAAAATAAAAATAAAAAAAAAAGCCCTAGAATCCTAAACCGCTTCAATGGCGGCATCACTGTTCACCTTCTCCTCCACCTCAAGAAGAGTTGTCCCAGCTCCAAACTCGCCTCCTCTTCCCATATACATCAAAGCCACCAACGTAGTTTTCAACCCTGATATTCCAGAAGCTCATCGAGGTCTTGGACTTGATGATTTTGTTAATTTCTTAACTTCCTGCCGACTCCGATACGCAATCAGTGACGTTCCATCAGAGTTCTTTCCCGAACAAGTATGTGAATTCTACTACACTGCAACAATTAATGATGAAAACAATGCCATCTCCGGGACTATTGGTCGTGGAAGACACTCAGTCTTCATTACCGCTGACCTCCTTAGTGCTGTGCTCAGGTTACCAATCTTTGAACCATTCTCAGAGCTTCCATCTATTGAATGTTGTAGACGTCTCTTTCATCAACTGGGATATGATCACTCTAAGGCTGGTACTCGATCAGCTCTCATTCTGCGTCAGTGCATGACTCCAGGATGGAAGTTCTTCACCGGTGCTCTGTGTAAGTGTGTGGGTCACAAATCTCGCAGTGGTGATCAACTGAGCACGTATGAACAACAAGTCTTCTGTTCCCTTCTTCTCAAAAAATGCCTTGATTATGGGGCTTTCTTCTTTGATCAGCTTGTCCAACTTCTTCGTGCAAATGTACGCGCTGATCATGTCCCCTTTCCACGCTGGATTGCTCTTGTGCTAGATAAATTTTTCGCTGAAGCTTACTATTCACATTCTGGGAACCCCATCCAATGCCCTCGCATGTCAGTGCGAATTTATCAGGATGATCCATTGGACACCGATATCGGCATCTCTGATTGGATGAGAGAATGGATGGCAAATCCATATACTGTTCCTTCACTCACCGTTGATACTGATGAAGGAGCTGATGGTAACAACGAAGATCATGCTGATCAAGAAGCTGAATCACAGAATGGTGGCCATCTCTCCCCTCAACTCTCTCATCATACTCTCTCTGACACTGAGCGAGGTCACTCAACTCAAGGGGAGCCATTATTTCAGGGGGAGCAACCATTCCAGGGGGAGCCACCATCTCAGGGGGAGCAACCATCCCAAGGGGAGCACCCTTCTCCGGGGGAGCAACCTCGCTCACCAGAAGTTCCAGGTACTTCATTTCTTCGCATACTGACCTCAGCATTTAATGAGCTTCTGACACTGACTCGGGACATGAGTCAGCGTCTTCTACGAATTGAGGCCGATGTCTAGTAGCTGACAGGTATTTTCTTGCCAACTCCTTCCCCTGGCCCACAACATGATGATGATCAAAAAGGGGGAGAAACTGATGATGATCAAAACGAGGGAGGCACTAAATCTGTTGATCTTGAATCTGCAGACAACACTTTAGTCCAGACTGAGCCACCACAGTCGATGCACGAGTCTGATAGACCAGCTGCTGACGACTCAGATAGACCTGCAGATATTGAACAGATTGCTGAAGATAGTGAGCATGATGATGAGTGTCAGATGTTGGACATGAACTTCATTAATCCTACTATTCCAGCTCAAGGAGAAGCCTCAGAGGATAATGAAGATGAACATGATGATGAATGTCAAATGCAAGATATGAAATTCATTGATCCTATTATGCCAGTCCAAGGAGAAGATTCAGATGTAGCTAGTGAGGATACTCAACCTCTATCTCGCAAGCGCAAGGTAACAGATACTGAATTGGCTTCTTCACACACTGATACTTCTCTGCCTAGCAACAAACCTAAGTCCATCGTTAGCATATCCAACTTGGCAGTTGAATGGAATATGTCTCCTGATCAAGTTAAGCAAATTCTTGATGAAGCCAATCAAGCTCAGCTTCTAAAGAATATTGCTCAAGCTGATGAATCTCTCATTCAGCATCAACTTCAGGACAAAGGATCCTTTGAAGCTCAGTTGCAGAAGTTCTTGGAATATCAGTCCAAATCCAAATCTTCCCAGCCTCCTCCCAGTAGCAGCAAGTCAAGGACTGAAAATGTTCTAGACAGGATTGATCGAAAGAGGTTTCAAGATGTTCTTAAACGACGAGTGAGCAGTGATAAGATCATCAAAGTTAAAGCTTCTAAACCTCATAACGAGAAAATTCTTACATTGTTGATCACTCGTCAAGGTCCTCAACATCCATACACTAAAGTTGTCAAGAGGGATGAGCTGATCAGATACGGATATTCTGAATGGATGGAATTGCTCGAATTAGCATCCTAGCAAACTTCAGCTCTTTCTTCAGAAATGACATGTGCTCTCCATCTACTGATCAAGAAAGTTTAGCGTCTGGATCTTGTTCCCGTGAAACACTCTCAGCAGCAAGGCCAAAGTTCCTCAGTTCCTAGAATCAGAAGGACCAGGTTTCAAGTTGATAGTGAAGATGTGTTGGTTCTAAATTTTGGTGCTGAAGGAATAAACAACTCTCTTCCTATCGGTGTTGAGCCGGTTCAACATAAGTTCATCTCTGTTCCTGAACATGGAATGTTTGATCTCGATAAAAACAGAAGAATGTGCTTTCAGCGCACCATAGAAATTCCAAGAGCTCCAACAGCACATCTTATTGGCCTAAGACAAATGTGCATGAGTCATCAAGATCTATCTGGAGAGTTTCACATACTAATTGCTATGGAGCTGCTGAATAGAAGACAGGAGTTGTTGGATAGTCCTTACTGGCCTATAAAAATAGAAGCTGAAGCTGAGTATGAAGAATTTTTATCCAGAGGTGTTCTTGAATAGTTTTTTTTTTGAACATCATCATATTGGGGGAGATTTTAAGGTCGAACCTTATAATATGATGATGTTTGAAACTAATTCATCAGCATCAGTATCAGCTTCAGCATACAAGATGTTCTGTATATATAGTCTTACGTAACAGATTTAGTATTTATCTTGTTTCCATAGTTATCTTGTATTAGTTAGCTGTAACATCCCTGATTTGTAGGTATTGTCTATAATAGTTCTATATAATCTTTTGTACGGGTTTGTGAAGGGGTTGTCTTTCACAAACCCTAATAGCCGCTTTGTGCAAACAATAATCTCTTTGTGAGATTATCATTCTTAGTGAAAGCTCTTTGTGATATTTCGTTGTTCTATTCTTATTATTAGTCATTGTTTGATAAATCGATTGATCTAAGGTCCTTTCACCTTAAAATCTTCCTAGTGAAATCGTTTCATCACAATCATTTTCATGAAGGAGAGAGACGTTATGACACTTAGATTTTATGGTGTATGTGTTCCTATCTATGTGAATTTGTCATAACCATCATCATAAGACAATGTTTGTGACAAATCCAAACTCTTATGGACAGAACTTGTTCATTCTTAATTTCTTGCCATCAAGGGTCCCACAATTGCTTCCAAGTTATTTAGCTGCTCATCTATACTAGTCAATGTACTTTCATTGAACAAGGTGCTTCTTTTTATGCAGTCTACTAAGAACTCATAGATCTCATATGCATAGTTGACCAAACTGGAATGGCACAGAAAGAAAAATATGTCAACACGATAGGTTACAAACCTCAAGTCGTGTGCTAGTGTTTAACTAGGTTTATTCCTCTTGACATATAAGATTCTCTTGTCAATAAACATTTCTTGACAAAAAAATATTCAAGAGTTGGTGCGGATTCTTATCAAGACAAACACTACACACGATTGATCTTAGTTGGCCTTTGTCTTATCCAAGACATCACAACTTACCAATTTCAAACGTGTAAGAGTAATAAAACATTTTCTACTTCACATTTTGATGAGTGTGTTAAAACTTCTTAAGATGTGTCACTCAAGTCACAATCTTGGAGTATGGCTCTAAGACTTGATTTTGGAACAAAGTATGACTCATCCTTCTGATTTAACCATTTCAACAATTTCTAATTCCTCTTCTATCCATACTAGTGCACTAAGATGTCTTTAGAGGATCAATTGTGATAAGGTTCTTAATCATTAAGATGATCATAAAACACAATACAAAAGTACTCTCCTATCTTTTCAGATTAGTGATACTTTTATCTTTCTGCCTTATTAATTCTTCTTATTCGTTCTGCCAATCATTGAAAATATATAACGATTCATAATTGTACTTAATCTTGTAAGCATAACCATATTTACTAGACTTTTAGTAAATTATGACAAATAGTCTTATTGTTCTTTGTGGTGGACTTGACCCGTGCACAACATTGTGTACCAGTTCTCCTAGTCCTTCACTTGACTCTTAGTCAAGGAATTTTCCAAATATGAAGTTTTTCATTCATCATACAATACAAGTTGTATGATTCCAATTTTTTGTCCAATTGAAACTCGGGTGATGAGAATCTTTTCTTTCTCGATATTGCCACAAATAACATAACTAAGAATCACATCAACATTGATAAAAATAGAAATACACAAACATCAATTTTTCATACATGCCATTGTAATGAAATAAATAAGACAAAAACCATAATTTATTACATTTATAAAAGGTGCGGAAAAACTTGTCCTTACAATGCAATTCAAATGAAAACAATGCTATTACATATTCTTAAGCATTCTATCGTAACTCTAAAAGTAGCAGCTCCAAAAATCTTATCATCGAATCGTGCAATCGGAATCCATTTCTTCACGATCAGATTCAACTCACTTCTTCCTTTAATCTTCCTATCTTTTCTTCGATCCTACAAAACATCAACATGCAATCTTATAACATCATGTATTAATAATATATATATATATATATATATATATATATATATATATATAGATATAGATATATAGATATGAACTTATAGAGTTACTTAATGGATTTTACCTGAAATAAAGCCATATGTCTTGACTCTTCCATCTCTTAGATCTCTCAGGTAGACAGGGCAGCTTCGTCTCCAATGCCCATTCTCTTGGCAATAAAATCAAATTGACTATTTTGGAACAGCACACGGAACTACCTCAGACTTTGCCTTTCTCTTATGGTCAAACTTTTTGACCATGTAATGCCTTTCGTTGCCATTGCATATGTCCATGGCGATTCGGAAGGCAGATCTACCAATCAACTTTGCTTCTCTAATGCACCCAATCATTGCTGATTCAGCAGCAACAAGCAAATAGGTGAGATCGATGAGGGTCGTGTCATGGTCTATCATATAGTACTCTCTTACGAACTCACTATATGAGTCAGGAAGCGATTGAAGAACCCAATCAACAGCCAGCTTCTCAAAGAAAACAACTCCCAATATTCTTAACCTGTCAATGTGCAACTTCATCTCTAAGACGTGTGCACACACTGACTTTCCTTCTTCATGTTTACTTGCCAAAAGGGCTTGAGTGAGCTTGAACTTTTCAAGCCTTCGAACTTGTGGGTCAGGGAGAACAATAGGAGGATGTGGAGGAAGTGAAGAATGATCTCTTTTTCCTCGATCGAATCGTAGAATAACATCTTCATGTGGAAAGCTTATTCCATGGGATTTAGGAAGACCATAGTTAGAATCAGATATCTACAAAACGAGAGAAAATTCAAGTCAGATGATTGAGTCCTTAATAAAACACCCAAATGAGATATTAAGGGTAGGACCCAACACAATATTCTATAATTCGGAATAGGGATGTCGTAATCCAAATTTCAAAACATTTGAAGGTAGGTAAATGATGATTTACCAATTTCAATCATGAAAAACGAAAAAGAAATTTAAGTTTTAAATGAATTGAAACTCCTAAATCTTTTGAGATTCATTAAACTTTTCAATGGCATGTTTAATTCTCGATTGTGCACTTCATTTGTGACTGGGATACCGAGAATCACAAACAAGTTGTGAATAACCATGCAAATTAGCTTGGTACTCTCGATGTTACAAATCACCTAATCAATGTGTCGGTTAACTACACACGCTCCATTGATTTATGATAAGCATCAAGCTACCCATTGCCATCCTTCATTGGTCCCATATTAGTGTGCCGATTAACCACACACGCTCCATTAATCGACCAATAAGGGTGCAATGTGCAATTTCATGGATTAGCACCAATTCCACATTTTTTCTAAAGTAACTAAAATTTGGGATTTTATAAAAGTGTTTAGTTACTTCGTATTTCTTTATACTTATAATGGAAGGTTGTGTCATATCCTACCCATTCGGCTAACGACCCTCCACTAGTCAAGAGTGTGGTAGGTAAGAGTGGATACTCATTCAGTCGCTATTTTATAGGCAATTTCCTTAAAAACCCCTTAGAGACCAGCTTCGTGAATGAGGCATACTAACGGTAAGACTGACACTTTACTCATACTTATATAATATTAGACTTTTAATTTTATATATAGTATAAGGGTGCATTTTACACTTTTAAAATACTAGTTGTTCTAATTTAATAAATTATACTTTTAATTTAGTTAAATGTAAACGAAATCATTATGGACTTATTAACTCTCTTTTAATGATACACTTCATTAATTTAATAAAACCATGAGGATGTAATTTGAACTTTTCAAAAGTAGGGTTTTAGAATTTTTAATAGCTCAAAATTAAACTTTTTAACCAAAATGTTAAATTCCAGAACTTGAGGGCAAGTTTTGAACTTTTCAAAACATTAGGGTTTAGAATTTAAATATTTCAAAATTAAAGCTTTTATCAAAAGGCGTTCCTTATATAGAAAGACTATTAGGGTTTTGAACTAGGAAACCCTAATCTGATTGCTTAGGCCCAAAAAAGCCCATGGACACCCTCCTTAGAAGCCTTGGACAAATTCTAATGGGTTTCCCCATAGATTTTGTCCACTCCAACTTCTATGGAGTCCATTAGCCCAATATTCAACTATCACACAATTGACAGTTATAGTCCCCTTTATTTAATTAAAGTCTTTTAGCCACAGAGTTAGTTCTTAATTAATTGTTGTCTAATTAAACAATATAATTTCTCCTTTAATATATTATTCATATAATATATTAATAATCCATAATAACATCTCTCTCTTCATAAATCATCCTATCAAGTTGCTTTGGTGAAGGCAACCCAAAAGGACCATGCACAACCAGGTTAAGTACATACCAAATATAGTTACGGGCTTAGACACTAATCCAACAAGAATATGGGGGTCTGAACTCACCTTAAATATGTGTTAACTGAAAGTAGCAAGTTGTAGTGATGATCCCCGAGTAAGCGTACGCGCTAATAACGTTACCCTAAAAATAATTGTATTCGTCGTCGTATTTAAATTAATAATAAATTAATTTAATTAGTGGGTTAAATTATTTATGTAACGACGTAAATTTTCAACCAAAATTTTCATTTTTAAAATACATAAAACTCATATATTATATTTCATGAAAATCATAAGTGCCTCAATGTCAACATAAAATCTCAATAAAAGTCAAATCCCAGAATCCTCAATGTCACCTCGAACAGGTGTGTACAATCACGTTGGTGCCTTCTCACGATCCTCTGAGGTACCTGAAACACATAATACATAACACGGTAAGCATGATGCTTACTGAGTTCCCCAAAATACCATGCACAAAAACTAGCCACTCGAGGCTATAACTCTGCAAGTCCCTCCGGTCAATGTGTCTGAGCGGGACCCTCCAGTCCTACAACTCGTTGGATCATCTGATCCGGTCTGGTTGAGAACCCTCCGGTCTCATAGTTCATTGGACCCTCCGGTCCAGTCTAAATATCACATAATATAACCTACAATACACATCACACAAACATGCATAACTCAAGCAACTACAAAAGACCCTCTAGTCACACATAGTTACCACTCTAGGTAAAGT